GGGGTTTCACCATGTTGACCAGGATGGTCTCGATCTCTTGACCTCGTGATCCACCCGCCTTGGCCTCCCAAAGTGCTGGGATTACAAGCGTGAGCCACCACGCCCGGCCAGTTGCATAGGTTTTAAGCAGTCTGACCCAACACTGCATTTCTCATAAGCCCTAAGAGCTTAATTTATTTGATTTATGTCTTCTATATCAGTAATAAATTATGAACCATGGCAACAAAGTAAGGAGCAATGAAGGAAAAAAACATGCTTTCATAAATTCTTCTTAACGGCTACAACAGAAAAAACTGAAATAATTTTTATTAATAAAGACCCATTCTTTTTTTTTTTTTTTTTTGAGACAGAGTCTGACTCTGTCACCTAGGCTGGAGTGCAATGGCGCAATCGCAGCTCACTGCAGCCTCCATCTCCCGAGTTCATGCAATTCTCCTGCCTCAGCCTCCCAAGTAGCTGGGATTATAGACATGCACCACCAAGCCCAGCTAATGTTTGTATTTTTAGTAGAGATGGGGTTTGACCATGTTAGTCAGGCTAGTCTTGAACTCCTGACCTCAAGTGATCCATCTGCCTCAGCCTCCCAGAGTGCTGAGATTACAGGCGTGAGCCACCATGCCCAGCCTAAAGAACCATTCTTGAACCACCACTCAGAGCCTTGTTTCTGATACTTTGTCTAATATTTTGACGTTAAAGAGTCTACTGAAGGGCCAACTATATGAAGATCGCACTACAAATGAAAAAGCAAACTGAAGTAAACATTAGAAACCATAGTCCAAAAGGAAGACCTCATAGTTAATACACAGAATTAAACTATAAGTGATGTTTCAGGCAAGAACTGTTTTGGGCTGGGTGCAGTGATGCGCACTTGTAATCCCAGCTACTCAGGAGGCTGAGGCACAAAAATTACTTGAACCCAGGAAGCAGGGGTTGCAGTGAGCTAAGATCCCAATGAGAGCTAAGAGCCTGGCAACAGAGCAAGACTCTATCTCAAAAAAAAAAAAAAAAAAGGAACTCTTTCCTCCAGTTATTAATAATATTCTCAGTAATATCAAGTGGACTATGAAAGCTTCATCATTTAAATAAAATCCATCCAGGCACGCCTGTAATCCCAACTACTCAGGAGGCTGAGGCATGAGAATTACTTGAACCAGGAGGCAGCGGTAGCAGTTAGCCAAGGTTGCGCCATTGCACTCCAGCCTGGGCAGCCGTGCCAGACTGTCTCAAAAAAGAAAATCCTGGCCCAGTGTAGTGGCTCATGTTTGTAATCCCAGAGCTTTGGGAGGCTGAGACGGGATGCTCACTTGAGCTCACGAGTTTCAGACCAGCCTGGGCAACATGGCGGAAACCCCATCCTGACTAATACGAAAATTAGTTAGGCATGGTGGCATGAGCCTGTAGTCCCAGCTACTTCGGAGGATGAGGTGGGAGGATGGCTTGAGCCCAGGAAGCGGAGGTTGCAGTGAGCTGAGATCATGCCACTTCACTCCAACCTGGGGTGACAGAGCCAGACCTCGTCTCAAGAATATCTTTTAAGAAAGCCTATCAAATGGCAATAAACTGTAGCTGACTATATGCTTTCTAATAAGATAAATAAAATTAAGTGCCCATATGAATAAAGACCATTTTTTTCCCCAAAAATGTCAAATTAAGATTATTAAAATAAAGGTATCATTTGCAGTATAAAACACTTTAAGGATTCCTTACCTTTGGAACTGGTTTCTAACATTTTATTCTTGTTAATGAACACAGGTCCCTTGGTGTATCTTTTTTCTAGCAAATGTTGCCTGCCTTGTTCAGTTATTACACTTGTTATGACATAAGGGTAGTTTTCTTTTTGCAAACCATCAATATCTAAATCAAGTCTCCGTTTAACTTTCTCAAAACTGTTATCCAAAAATGGTTCATTTCCACAGGACACCATAGGTGTGTCCATCTGCTGTCGCATATTCTGGTTTTGCATCAGTAAAGGAGAAGGATTTTTTACATCATAAGACTTGTTCAGCTCCGTTTGTAAACTGCAGTTTTTCTCTGATATACTGGCTGGCTTGAGTCCACTCACAGTTCCAAAGTTTTGACTTGCTATACACTGACTGCTGGCATATGGTTCATGCAGCTTTGGCATCGCAGCACAGGTACTGTTCATTTTGTGTGCACCTCTCTCATCGGATGTTAACTGACCTTCCACAGTAACAAGTCCATGAGTAACTTTATTTTCTAAATAATTTCCTGAAGATTGACATACCTGATTTGACTTACCTAAAACCGTATCTGCTATGACTTCAGATGTATTTTTGCCTACATAAGCCTTGCTTGAACAAACGCTTGCTAAATCAATTGGTAACTTTGGCACAATTTCGGGCACATTTGTTTTTTCATCAGTATCATGAACAATTAAGTCCATTGCCTGTTCTTTTCCTTTAGGGCTTAATTCACAGGCATTTATTGGGTTATTTATAAGTATATGACATGCTGATGATGTCCTGGAACGCCTTCGATGCATTTTAGGACTCATACTTGGCTCCGGACTAGGTAATTTGGCATAAGAATCTGCGAGACTTTTGATAACATTATTTTCAGTAACAAAAGCGGGAATAACTTTAAAATCAGAATTAGGTTCTAGAACAGTGGAATGGCCAGTTTGCACAGGTATGTCCACTTTCGAAAAGCTAGCTAAAACTGGCATACTCATGCTGCTTGCTTGAGTGGAAGCACCTTGGAGAAGAACATTTGATTTATTAAGGCTTGGTTTGTCAGGAATAACTGAGACACAGTGTTTGCCTGTCAACTGGGCCTTCTCTTTAACACAGTCAGCCACTTTAACAGCATCATTTTCTTTGTCTGAATGACTCTCATTAACAATTCTCTTTGTACTACCTCTCAGACTTCGTCTAGATTGTTCTCTTTCTATATATTCCTTTGACTTTTTCATCAGATTCTGAAGACTCATTACATAGGGATCTGGGGTGACTTCTGCCAAAAGTAGTGGATCCTGTGATTCATTTATTGAGAAGAGACCATCAGAAATAAGAGTCTCTTGTGGGGTTGCTAGAGAGGTCTTTGGAAAAGCTTCATTTTCTACATGACTAATATTGGAACCATCACATTGCTTCAGAGAATTAAATCCTTCTGAATCTCTGGCTAAGTCTATTCCATTAGTTTTACATTGGTCCTCATTATCCAATGGCAAAATCCCGGCTATGTTATCAAGCTTTGCTGAAGTAGAGTGTTCAGTATGGCTTGGAAAGCTATTTGGAAATGTAGCAGGAACATTCAAGTTTCTGACTTCTGAATTAGAGTAAACCGTTTCCATCTCCCACTGATCAAAATCACTGGCATTAGGTGCTTTTCTAACCTGAAACAGGAAATTTAAAAGTTAGTATTTCCTCATTGCACAAAAAGTCTCTGATTTCACTGTTTTCTAAAATAAAACTGAAATTGAAGATTGAGAGTTCTGACATTTCAAAACATAAACCAACACTAAGTTGACAGGTTTGTATGGTATTCTGTATCACATGGGGCACAAATTATTGAAAAAACACCTACTGGTCATCCAGCCTAAGTTATTAAAGAAAAAAAGAAAATTAATCTGATACAAATATGAACATACACACACACACACACACACACACACACAGAGATATTCATATATCTGTGCAATTTAATCTTGGATAGAAGCACTCTCCTTAACTTTCTTCCAGTCATATGTTACTAACATTAAAATAGCTATCATCCAAGGATAATAATATATGCAATAAACAGTAAGTTTATTAGCGATCATCCAAGGATGGTAATATATGCAATAAACAGCAAGTAATGAAATGTCTTACATAAACAATTCCCCTCTAGCAAAACTTGTCCAGGACATTGATTAAACAAATATGATTCAGTAATAACACTCCTGCACCCACATGCTTACTCCAAAGTTTAACTAAAATCCCTCCATAAAATGAGGCAAATTTGTAGTAAACAATAGCTCAGCCAGGCAGCTTAAATCATTTAGAAATAAGAAATATTTCAACTTAAAACTCAATTCATTAAAACAAAATTCAAGGCCGGGCACGGTGGCTCAAGCCTGTAATCCCAGCACTTTGGGAGGCCAAGGCGGGTGGATCACGAGGTCAAGAGATCGAGACCATCCTGGTCAACATGGTGAAACCCCGTCTCTACTAAA